ATGACAATCCGACAAGGCTGACATCATTATCATCCCCATTGCACAGTTTCACACAGAAGCAATCTGGTTCTAGTGCAACAGCCAACCACAGTCCAGCTGGAAGGCAAATGGAGCTTGGGTGTGAGGGCCAAAGGGAGAATTAGGGTCAGAACTGTACCAGCATGCTCTTGGGCTGACTGAGTTTTGATTATAGAACTGAAGCTGCTGACTGTCTTTGTGCCCCAGACCTAGAAAGGACAGATGTATGGGGCTCAGCTGTGGGAAGAAAAACTGCAGGAGCTAAAGATGGGCAACTTCAGACTGGGTAGGGGGAAGTACTTGGTGGCAAGCCCCTGATGCTGAGCTACCTTTGGCACACAGTAGGTGCTTGATATTTATTTGGCAAGTGAATGGATGAATGGATTATTGAATGAATGAATGAACTCCCTGAACTTGCTCTGTACTTTACCAAATTCACACCTTACCTCATGTTCACTATTCCTTACTTCATTTGTATAAGGACTTAGCATCCCTTGACAATGAACTCCAGATTTACTTGGCTTTTTTTCTACCACAGTTGGTCTCAGTTTGAAGCCCAGTCCAAGCTCTCAGTTTCCCTCTCTTTGGAGAGGGCAACCACTGACAAGTGGTGGTGAGGGGCAGCTGGAGGAAGCCCCGCCGGGAAAAAGAAGGGGCCCAGGGTCCTAGCTGCTATCAGAAGGCCTAGAGATGAGGCTTCTGTAATATTATCTGTCTCCTGTAGTTATATTGTAACACAGAAAGGGTGTCCACATGTTGTTCGGGATTCAAACTTGGAGGCCAAAATAGGATACTGGGTCTGCAACAGCCTTGAGAGTTTGTCCTGCCCCAAGCCTGCTACTTGGCTCAAAATCTTCCCTCAACCTGAACCTCCAAGGGCTTCACTAACAATGCATTTTCCAAAATGGCAGAGAGGCTGGCTCCCAAGTCTGAGGAGCCTGGAGTGTGTGCCCCCCTCCGAAGATCTCCTGAGGAGGCCAGGTTGCAGTTCAACAGGCCAAAATCCAAGGCTGCAGTCCAAACAGGGTTTCTGAGAGAAGCACCACATAATGCCTCCCCTACTTCCATGGCTTCTTATATGTAAAGGGCTGTGGAGCGCCAAGTGACCCAGTCTCCATGCTCTGAGGTTAGGTTAGGTCAACAGTGTCCCCTTACTCTCCTAGAGAGTCATGCCTAACCAGGCAGGCCCTAGATCCCTGTGCTCTGAGCCTTCTCCAGCCACCCTCCCTGCAACATTCCTGGAAGGAGACAAAGGCTCAGGTGCCTCAGGTTAAGATTGGTGTGGCACTGCTACTGCACTCCTAGAGCTCTCAGTATTCCATTTGCCTGCTTTGATTAGGGACAAAATTTCTCCATACCTGCATTTTCCTCAGCCCCTTAAGCAGGCCATATATACAAGAGCCCATGTCAAAACCGGTTCTAGGATCCACACATTTCCAATGTGCTCCAGCCCTGACATATACAGAGGATACCAGTCTGTAACCACAGGAAGATGTCAGCTCAGTGCCAGCCACTTTCCTCACCAATCAGATGACTTCAGAGGCAGGGAGTCCTGGGGCCGCAGTCAGCATCCATCCATCAGACCACACAGCCTCCAATCAGAGAGAAGCCCTTGGGGCTCATGAGCACCTGAAGCCAGAAGAGACCTTCTACTTCTGTCCTTCAGGCAGTGGGGGTCACCCAGCTCCTGATGATAAAGCTGGTAGCTTCCCAGTTACAGGGCCATTTCACCCTGCCTGATACCAGCAGGGAAAGCTGGCAGAAACCCAGAAGAGTTCATGGTCAGAGTTCAGGTGAGCTCAAGACTCTGGCCTACACTGCCACAGGCCCAGTGGAGAAGCTTGCCTACTGGTGGGCCCAGGCTGTTGGCAGTCAGGGCTGGATGCTGGGCTGCCTTGCTGTGGAAGCTGTGTGTCTGCCCAGATCCAGGAGCTGGCCCCTCCCAAGGTCCCCAAGGGATCCATCCTTGCATGGAGCATGCTCAGGGCTTTGCCTCTGGAGACTAGAGGCTGCCATGCACCTGCTTTGGAGTGTTGGCACAGTCCAAGCCAGCCCACCTGACTGGAGGCCAAGCCAGAAAGAATCTGTGAAAGATGAGGATCCCAAGGTGAGGCCAGCCTGAGGGTCAAATCCAGCCCTCCCTCTAAGATTCTTTGGACTTGGCCTCAAAGAAGGATAGAGTTGGGGAAGGAAAAGAGGCAAGAGATCCTGGGGCAGTAAATCTTTGACTCCTTTTCAAGAGGCCTGATATTTCAGGGTGGTCCTACGTGTACCAGAGTCCCTCCCTGCGCCCTCATGACCCCTCCTCACAAGATCACTTTCCCCAACTGCTTTCCCCCAGCTGCTGGGAGGCCAACTGAAATGGAAGAACTGGAATATTAAGTTTCAGCCTCTGCCCAGCTTGGTAGGCAGGGCTTGACCAGAGGTATATACTTTCTACACCTGCACAGATGGCTTGGAAGATAAGCTCCTCCCTCAGGGAGCTGTGCAGAGAGGTCTAAGTGAAAAAGCATGGAACACATACAGTGCACTTAATCCACATGGTACAACACAGAGTTTGCATGGCACACACCGTAATACTGTCTCTGTGCCCCTTAATGAACCCTGCAGAGGAGTCCTTAAGGACAGAGTGATAGAGTGTTGGTCTAGCATGTGGAAGAGGCCCTGGGTTCAATTTAAGTTTTGTTTTAAAAAGAAAGAGGAGGAGGAGGAGGAGGAGGAGGAGGAGGAGGAGGAGGAGAAGGAGGAGGGGGAGGAGAAACCCTGCAGAGATGCCCAGTGTCCATCTCCCAGGCTGCCATAGAAGCCATCAAGAGCATTTCTGACTGAACTTCCCCTCAGGAGGTCTCTGAGGCCTTCTTGGTGGGTCAGGCAGTCAACTTGAAAGCATGGCTAGGAAGTGAGCCCCAGGCCATGCCAGGAGCCCACCCAGTGTCCACATTTCAGGCAGGTCAGAGAGGCAGGCAGAGCCCAGTCAAGGGCTCCATCTGAGCTCACCTAGCTCAGGAGGTGTTTCTCCATGGGGGCCACCGTGCTGTTTGTTTGCAACTCAACTAAATTGCTCCCAGAGGGGAAACTTTATTTCACAACATATTTTCAACCTGAGACTTTCTGCAAACAGGGCTATGTCTGCGCAGGTACACGCATAGCTGGGCCCAGAGGGCAGACCCAGCCTGTCTCTGTCTCTGCTACAGTCAGGTCTTCCTCAGAGTTTCCTGGTGGGCAGAAGAAAAGAGTGGCCTTAAGGGGACCATGTGAGGGCAAGCATCTTTTCCTCCTTAGCTTCTAACCCCTCTGCTCCCCTTGAATGTTTCCATGGAACCAAAGGCAGTGGATATACTGAGATGTGGGCAGGAAGAGCCACATGCTACCTGTGTCTGAACAGCTGGGATGCTCCATCTCCCTGCTTCTTTTAATATTCCTCTGTGTCTTGGACCATGGTCTGTCCTCAGGCTCTAAAGGGTAGAAGGATGGTCTTCAAGAGGGTCTCTCAGCCTTGCTTCTGGCCCTCAAGCAATTCCTGGGTCTCCAGGGCCCATTTGGAAGGGACAGGGAACACCCTTGGGCCTCATGGGCTCTCTTGGATCTCCTAATAAAAATTACTTATTTTGGGATGTTGCTGTCTCCCTATTCAGCAGAGGGATTTCTTCTGGCACTACCCCCTCTGCTCTGGGGCCAGAGAGAAAATCTACCAACTGTTTCTTCGCTAAGTGTCATTGTCTCAACTTTCAGCAGGGCCAAGGCTCCAGGGGCCACATATATGGTGTCTCACAGGGCTCACAGGAGATCCTGCATCCTGTCAGAAGTACTGCAGTCCAGAAGAGGGAGAAACCTACCGAGGATCAGAGAGAGGCAGGGTCCTGGCAGAAAAGGTGCTGAAACTCAAACCTCTTCTTTCACCCACTCTCTCCCTCTGTCCTTTCTTCTCTCCTTCTCTATCTCTGTCTTTGTCCCTCTCCTTCCCTCCAATATTTCCCCCTCTGTGCTCTCCCTCTTTACTTCCATACTTCTCCACCCTCATATGCACAGATGGTTATGTTCATCTCATATCTAGTGACACACTCTCCACCTTTATAGATACAGAGAAACCTCAACGGACTTGGGGAACAGAGAAAGGTCCATTTAGTCATAAAGCTAATGAGAAAGCCCTGGGTCTCCATCTCTACACATATGTGTATTGATCCCTGAGCCCCAGGGAAATTGGCATCAGCTCTTCCACAAGGCTCCAGCAACCTGGCACAACTGCACCATGGGTGACCCTGTCCTAAATGTACTTCATGAGGCTGTGGGTCCAGGAAACATCCAAGGGGAGCAGAATGTCTAGAAGCTAAGGAGGCAAAGATGCTTACCCTCACGTGATCCCCTTAAGGCCACTCTTTTCTTCTGCCCACCAGGAAACTCCAGCATTCAGAACTGGGGACACTGGGGGCTGGGAAGGAAAAGGGGAGGAGGGCAACAGGGTCCCTGGGACATTGTCAGCAGCCAAGTTCCAGCCACAGGGCCTTTCACTAGAGGGATTTTTACCCAGTGCACCTTCCCACTACTGGCGCAAATGAGTCATGTATATAAGAACCTCAAGCACCAGATTTCGCTGTTGCCATTAGAATTTTATTGAGCATGTTCTTTGTGTGGAGCCCTGCACACTAATGGAAGAACAGGGGAGAAAGCCGAAGCAAACCTTGCCACAGAGGTTGGAACAGAGCAGGCAGGAAGCTGGAGCCAGTGAGGCAAGGCCCAGGGAGCCCTCACAAGCAAGCAGGCAGTGCCTGCCACTGGTGCTGCTGGAGGGGCGGATGCCACTCTCTCCTCTCCCTCCAAGACGGCACATCTCAGCTCATGCAGACTTCCTCCGGCTTCCAGCAGCTAGAACCTCCCTGATCCTACCTAGAGGCTGGAAGTAGGCTGGGACAAGGCAGCTCTGGGAGAAAAGGGACGAGGGGAGGGAGCAGAGGCTCTGGCTGTGCTGAAGTGCCTGTGAAGCATCACTGGCGCATCCATAGCCACAGGTTGGCGATGCAGGCAGACACCAGCATGGTGAAGAACACAGCCTCCCTGTGCCGCCAGGTGGCGCCCTGGTCCTCGAGGGCACGCAGGCGTCCAGTGATCATGTGCAGCTATAGAGGGACCAAAAGTAGAGCTGGTGAGCAAGGCTCTTCCAGAAAACCAGAGGCTTGCCAGTGGGGGCAGAGGGGAGTGTGAAGTTAAAACAAGAAGTAGTTTTGCTACCCTTTAGCAGGCCCAACTGCCCCTGGGTGAGAAGCAGCCAGCCTGGCATGACCTAGTAGGACCCAGGGCCAGTTTCCTTCTCTCTCTCTCTCTCTCTCTCTCTCTCTCTCTCTCTCTCTGTGTGTGTGTGTGTGTGTGTGTGTGTGTGTGTGTGTTCTCTCCAGGTCTCTTCAAGAGGCCAGCCTGCCCCCACTATAGCAGGGTGAGCTCAGGAAGAAAGTGGCTTTTCCTCCTGGGGTGGGCATGTGTGGCTGCAGTCACAGAACCAGAGAGAGGACTTCAGGGCCTGAGAAGGCCACCAGGACAGGTGCTCATCCAACCTCCTTCTCCCACTCCTGGGACTCCTTTCTAACAAAACCTGAGCTTGGTTTGCAGCTGAGGCTACCCTCTGCTGACCTCTCAGCACCACTGTCTGGCATTGCTCTGACATGCTTCTGTTTCCTGCTGCTCCCCCTTTCCTCTTCCCTGATTCCCTTGTCACAGCTCAGAGACAGAGCTTAGTCTCAAGGGTAAGCATCAAGCTGGAACAGAAGAGGCAGTGGGCCTTGGAGGAAAAGAAGAGAGCCCAGCTTCACCTCACCTCAGGGTGCTATAGGTGAAGATGATTATAAGGGCTATGTGAAATCAAAGGTGTGACTTTGCTTACAGCTCTTGAGGCTCTCTACCTCCAGGCACCATGTTGCCACCTGCACCTGCCATGTGGGTCTGGTAGGGCAAAAGCTCACCTGTCTTCTCATGATTTCCATCTCCAGTCCATTGAGCTCTTCCAGGCCAATCTCTGCTGCCATACTTGCATCTGAGTTGCTGAGGGAAAAGCAAAACACAGAGTCAAGAGTTTCTGATGGCACTAAGGAGGCCCTAGCAGAGAGGAAATCCAGGAGAGGAAGCAGGCCAGGAACTTCTTGAATAGTGACTCTAGCAGCCTGTGGTAAAGAGGGCCCGAAGGCTGGAAGTCAGCCTAGTCCAGGCTGCCAAAGAGTGAATGTAGGTTTCCAAAGGCCAGGAGGCAGCAGAACCCCAATATTTCAAGCAACCACACTCCTTCCTGGCCAGGCTGCTCACTAGGCTCTCTGCCCATACTGGTCCTCGCCTGGAGCACTCAAGGTGCAGCTCTTACCGTTCATAATGGAACCTCATGCCTTGCAAGCTGCCTGGATACTCTTGGGGATGGGCACTGCCATGCACTGTCTCTCTTGACATTCTGGGCTTCTGCAGCTGGTGCCCCTACAAGAAAGAAGGGTCACCCCAAGTCATCTGCTCGTTCCACCTAAGCAGCTTCCCCACACTTTGCCAAGATCTGATAGTGTATCCCAAGTGGGTCATGTGGTGCTTGACCCTCTGGAGCCAAGGGCAAGCCACTTTAGACCACTGAGAAAGCCTGGGCACCCCTATCTGCACCATGTTCCTCAGAAGCCCTGGCCTTGAAGGCTGTGGTGAGGGAAGAACAGTTACAGTGTCCTCTGCCAGAACTTCTATAGGCAAACATTACCTGAGAATCCAAACAACTTACTAAAGGAGAACATGAATTGAGGCCTGGCAAGGTGCCTTCACTCCCAAGGACACATGGGAAGAAAGGGAGCTAAGGTCAGCACTCTGGCTACTGGGAAGCCACAGATTCCCTCCCTAAGTGAGGCCAGCCATTCCTGGAGCTTTCGTTTTCATCCATCTGCTAATGACTCCCCAAGTGCATGTTTGAGGTCAAGGTTATCTGATGGCTTTGAAGAGCATTGTGGGGTGAAGAAGCAGAATGTGGCTTTTGGTGGCAGGCTTTCCCTGGGCTCAATCATAGCTGTAGGTTTCCACACTTTTTCTGCCTGCTAGGGACCCTGCCACCTTCTAAACCCTTACCAATAGCAAGTCATTGAATCCTTATCACAACCTCATGAAACAGGTGTTATTATTTTATTTTGAAAGATGAAGAGATTAAGCAAGTTGCCCAAGTCACACAACTAGTAAGTAATAGAGCAATAATCTGAGCCTAGGACACTGTTCTCCAGAGATTGTGCTCTTAGCCATTACACTATATGCCTCTCATACTGCTTCTTCTTAAGATTCCATTAAACAACAGCAAAGACAGTAAGACAGTACAATCCCATGAGAAAGATAACAACAGGAAGTGAAAGAGCTTAACAAAACTTTGAATGCAGAAAGTGCCCACGGAGGAAACCAGCAGACAAGCAGTCCTGGGCGTGGATGGGAAACAGATGGGGCGCTGCCAACTGGAGAGGCTGGCTGGCAGTACCCAGGCCTGGAGGCTGCAAGGACAACTGGTGGGGGGTGTCTCAAGAACAGAGGTGGAAAATAGGAACATTAACTAAAGTTCTGTGTATGAAACAGTCATCTACCCTTCTCCCTCCACCTGGCTGGCAACCAGACACTCATCCCCAAGCCAAAACCTGAACCAAATGAACAGGAAGCCTGGGGTGTCAGTGCCACAAAATAAAACTCTCTTTGTCTTGGCACTTGCCCTGCTACAGTACAACCTACCACTTGGCAGGCCTCAGCCAGCTGTGCCAAGGTCTGGGCTAGCACTTCTGTTAGCCTCATTCTTAGAAATGAACAGACAACTGCAGCTCACCTATCACCTTGGAAAGATCTACTCTTAGGTAACAACATTAAAATGAAAGTGAGGCCATTTCCATGAAAAGAGCTTTCTTAGGAGCTTTTCTACTAGGTTCCATTAGTTGCAATAATTCAAAATGTATTTTTTTTTCGAAAGGAGTGCACAGATACTGCAGTGACTTTTTGGGAACAGTTGTTTATATTAATAATATTTGATCTTCTTAAGAAACTTCAAAATAGCACCAAAATGACACTGAGTGTGAGATAAACCCCAGGACTACAAAGTAGATTTGCTTACAGTCATCTTCTTAAAGAATCTCCAGATTACCCCTGTGATTTTCCTATAGAGTGGAATCAGGAAAGCAAAAAGAAAATTTTCAGGAATTTGAAGGCAAAGTAAATATGAGTGATTGGTGGCCAGATGTTCTGTTTGAGGCAATGTAGTTTATCAATACATCAATATAATAGCAATTAATTTAACAATACCTTCTGTTTGATACCTTGTATTGTGACCACTTCATGTGATGGCTATAACTGTTCTAAAAGTTATTTGTATTTTTTTGTTTATTTGTTTTTTTTAAAAAAATATTTTTTGGTTGTAGATGGACACAAAATCTTTATTATTTATTTTTATGTGGTGCTGAGTATCAAACCCCAGGCCTCACATGTGCTAGATGAGTACTCTACAACTAAGCTACACAGCCCAAGCCCCTGTATTGTTTTTTTTTTATTATTTTTTTTAGTTGTAGTTGGATACACTATCTTTATTTTATTTATTTTTTTATGTGGTGCTGAAGATCAAACCCAGTGCCTCGCACATGTTTGGCAAGCATTTTACCACTGAGCCACAATCCCAGCCCCTTGTTTATAATTTTTAATTTTAAAACTACTTTTTGGGTATACATTATAAAATACAAGATATATATATATATATATATATATATATATATAGATATAGATATAGATATATAGATATATAGATATATAGATATAAATATATAGATATATATGGGTCGGGGCTATAGCTCAGTAAAAAAGTATTTGCCTCACATGTGTGAGGCACATAGTTCAATTCTTAGCATCACATAAAAATAAAGATACTGTATGTTCATCTAGAACTAAATTTTTTAAAAAGATATATATTATATATATTACATATGTGTGTGTGTGTGTATATATATATATATATATATATATATATATATATGATTAAGACTAGGAAATTCTATTAATTGAAACACATGCCAACTTCCTTGTTAATTATATCAAAAATTGTTATTCTTATTTTCCTTATGTTCCTTAAACATGTTTTTAAACATGTTCCTTATGTTTCCTCCCCAAATCAGCAGGATAGTATTATTAATTTTTTTTACCTTACATATTGGGATTTTCCCAGAGGCACCAACCATTGTATTAATCATCATATTCTAAAGTAAGCAGATGAATGAATGAATAGGATTAATAAATTAGAGTTCTTAATTCTAGAGTTCTAAATTGCATTTCTAATTCTAAAGCATTGCCCTCCTCTAGCCTTATGGCTAAATGTTCACTAATCCTGCTATGATATCCCCTTCAGTCTCAGTATCATGAGTGGCTTCCTAAAGCCTGGATTCCTGGAGCAACTTAATTTGGCTTCAGTTTTTAGACCCAGAAAGCCAATTTAATATTTCTAACTTATTTTTTGTTTCAGAAGATCACTGACCTGGAAGGCCCTTTTCTTGTTATTCACCAGAGCTTGAATCATTTCAGCCTAATAATCCTTTACCTAGAAACCAAATTACCCTCTTTGCAAACTTGATGCCTCTCTCAGTAACTTTTTTAAATACATTTTTTAGTTTTTGTTGGACCTTTATTTTATTTATTTATTTATTTGTGGTGCTGAGGATCAAACCCAGGGCCTCACACATGCCAGGCAAGTGCTCTACCACTTAGCCACAACCCCAGCCCCCTCAGTAACTTTTATTAAAGTATAACCACTTACACTTTTTGAAAGCATTCCCTCACTCATCCAAATATAGCTGACAGGATTGGTTACAAATTTAACCAATCCCATAGCTATATCCTATAACAGTCATGGCTCTTTCCTCTGAAAAATGGCTGCCTTTTTTTGCAACAATGTAGCTGCCATTTTTCTAGAATATTCCATCATCCCACAGATTTGTATGTGAAAAGATTGGCTACAGAATTCCAAGACTCAGGAAATGCCCTAGAACAGTCAGTTTTCACTCCCTCTCCAACCTTGTTGTCTTCCCAGTAATCTTTGCAACACTGTAACAAAACCATTTTTCTAAACTTCCTCACACAAGGTGAATATAGCTTAGAAAACTGAAGGCAAAACTTGATTCTTTGTAACAATCAGTTCTCTCTTTCCTTCAACCTGATTGCCTTTTTCTAGTAACTCTTGCTACTGTATAGCAACCATTTTTCTAAAACTTTCCCTCACCCACAGGACTCCCCTTCCTGCATGGATACCAAAATCAGTGGATGCTCAAGCCCTGTATATAAAATGATGTAATTGCATAAATCCTATGTACATCATCCTGCATAATTTGAATCATCTCCACATAATTTCTAAAACCAAAAACAATGTAAATGCTGTGTAAATAGTCCTTGTATTGTTTAGGGAATAATGACAAAAAAGCCTTTGTGTTCAGTACAGATGCTTTTTTCTCCAAATATTTTCCATCCATTGTTGGTTAAATCCACAGATGCAGGATCTGTGGATATGGTGGGCCAACTTTTGGCCCTTCTTTATTTACCATGGTCAGGCAGAAGCCTCTATAACCAGTACTGAAAACCCCAACCCAGTCACCATGTGTCCAAGATCCCAGACAGTACCAATTTTTTGGGCCGGGTAGCACCCATAGTCCAAACTGTTTGGCTTGCAGAAGAACCAGAAGCCTTTGGTTCCAACTTCTGTCGCCTCTGGGGAGCACCTAGTGACCAGGATCCATGCTCCATCATTTCTAGAGAGAAGAACAGAGACCCTCAAGAACACCCATAGAAGTTATCCTGGGGCTTCCTGGGTGTTAAGACATACCAGAAAGAAGACAGTGCCACCAAAGTTCTTAAGATTCACTCAAGACTACTGATCCCAGACCTGTTTATTCATCTGTTCAAAAGTTCAATAACAATATACTGAAGGCCAAGTTCTGGCCTAGGTTACTAGACAGAGTAAGCAAAGAGCAAGACGCAAGATCCCAGACATCAATGAACCATCTGCTTGTGTATAAGAGCGAGTGGGAAGTACACAACAAAAAACAACCCATCAGTACAAATTCAGAGAAATGATGGCTCCATAAATGACAAAACAGGTAACATGGTGGAAAGAAAAAGCAAGTTCTAGAAAAGTAGGAGTCAGCACTGATACAGAGACTGGAAACAGATCTGAAAAGAACCAAACATGGGGAATTGAGAACTGAGGAAAAGAGCAGACCAAGGGAATAGGGAGCACAGAGGCTGTGAGGAGAAACAGCTTGAGATGTTTTAAGAACAAACACAACTGCAGGGGGCGGGGGGGTTGGCAGGGAACTTGCGCACTGGACAAACATTGCCAGAGCAGAGAATATGTTAAGGAGGCCCTGAATGCATCTTCTACATTGCATGATTTGGATTTGACTAAAAGACAAGAGAGGATTCAGAGACAGAATTAATCAATTTATTAAAAAAATTAAGCCCTACAAATATTTTGCAATAGACACAGCGGTGCCTAAGATGGAAGGAGTCAGAGAAACCATACATGTTGTTTGCACCCTCCTCCCTCTTGGGCTACAAAAGACTTATATCATCATCTATTTATCACTTTTCCCACAGTTCTCTGTAACCAACACAAACACTCCAAAACCCAGACACTACATCTAAGCATGCATGCATGCAAACACACACACATATATGCACAAAAGCACACCCAGAGGCACATGTACCTTCTCCAACACCCAAGAGCACAAGTGTAGATGAATGCCTACATGGTCTATATATGCTAGGGGACATTTTAAAGGATCCTCACCTGCTATCACCAGTTGCTCTTGAGTTTTCCCATGGCTTCCAGGCCCCACTTCTTCAGCTATGCACATTTCTATCTCCTCCTTCATGCTAGGGGGCCCTCCTGCCATCACCACCAGTTACTCACTTGAAGCTATGGCTAAAGATTCACAGGGTTCAGGGCACAGAGGAAGCGCCTGGAGAATCACCTCTTCGAGGGGCAAGAGCTCAAGGAAGATATACCCTGACAAGGTGGGTGGAGCCAGACTCCCTTCCTGGGTTCAGACCTTGGACTAGGCACTTTATGTTTCTACTGTACCTTGTTGACTCTGCTATGTCCTTCTTTGTTGCTACTTTGTAAGCAATTTAGGGGAAGAGATACAGCTCAGGGCCTTTGCTTATGAGAACTGCTCTGGTTCAACAACCTTTGATTTGGCTGGTTGGGGGACTACTGGGGTTTAACCTCCATCATTTCTAAAAAGAGGCAGAGACTGGCACAGGATCTGACAGTCAGTGGCCAAAGCAGGGTCAAGTCCCAAGTGTATCATGGCTTCTGTCAGTCCAGCTGTGGCCAATAATCCAGGCCATATCACTCCATCAGAAGGGATTCTCTGTAGAACACACCACGTCCTGCCTCCCCCAGTCTGAAGTTCCTGGGCAAGGGAGATGCCCTTGCCCTGATTTGAGTTAGCCTGGTCAGGAACTATGAGATCCAAGGGCAAAAAAAGAGGGGGGGGGGACTACTGTAGCCACGGGAGCCTAGGCCCTTCAATCTTGGTTTAAGTCTCAATTCTCTCTCAGTTTCCCTACAAGTAGATTGCACCAGTACATGTTTTTTAGGTGTCACCTCAGCCAGGCTCTAGTCCCCAGTGAGCCCATCAAATACAACTCTAGGCATTGCTATGAAGGTATTTTGTAATTATGGTTAGCATCTATAATCAATTGACTTTAAGCAAAAGAGATTGCCCTCAATAAGCTGGTGGACCATGACCAATCATATGAAGTTGTTAAATACAAAAGCTGAGGTTTCCCTAAGGAAGAGGAAATCCTACCTCAGGATTTCAGTTTCCATTCCTACCAAAGTTTCCAGCTTGTTCTACAGATTTCAGACCCACTGTCACGTGCGTCAATTGTTTTACATCTATCTGTATATGCTTATGCATCTAGGCATACATACATCCTGTTGGTTCCATTTCCTCCGATTGATACAACTACCAATGGTCAAGGCTGGGCTCCAGGGAACAATTCCAGACCTCCTGAGGGAAGGGGAGGCTATCTGTAAAAGGAATCAAGCACAGCTGGGGTCAGGTGGGAAAAGGAGGAGGAAGCAGGCAGAAGAGGAAGGGAAGGAAGGAAGAGAGGGAGAAAGGAAAGGAAAAGAAAAGGGAAGGGCCAAGATCAGCTGAGGGAGGGTGGCAGGTTCAAGGGTTACCTCCCCTCCTGTCCAGTGCAGAGCTCTGACATAGGCTCTGCCTGCATTCCTAGGGGCCCAAAGAAGCTCCTCTCTTCCCACTCCAGCTGAGCAGCTGCAGTGAAACCTGAGCTTTCTGGAAAGCCACCTTAGGAGCAGAGAAGCTGAAATTTGTGTGCACTAGGATTCAGAAGTCCAAGAAGCTGGAGCCATATGTTTCTGCCCAGCCAGGATCACCAGATTGAGCAAATAAAACTACAGGACACTAAGTAAACTTGAACTTCAGATAAACAAATCATTTTAGTGCCATTATTATGATCCATGCAACATTTGGGACATACTTACATTTAAAAAATGTATTCATAAATTATCTGACATTCAAATGTAACTCAATATCTTGTATTTTATCTGGGAATCCTATGCCCTTGCATCCTCCCTATGACCTCAAGATTTAACCTTGGGTAAATCTTTCTCTTCTTTGCATTTCATTTTCCCTGATGGTCAATGGACTAATGGTCCTCTCTAGAAAGTAGCTAGATTGAGAGAGATTTATAAGTCAGCAGAGCAGAATAGTACTGGCACTGGCTAGGCACAGCACCTTGATCTACTGATTCCAAACCACATTTTCCTCTGGCTGCCAGCTGGCCTTGACTTACTGGGACTTTGTGGGAACAGAAACACTGTGCCCAAGTGCATGTGGAGGCATTGCCCCTGGTGGCATAGGAACCCTCTACCTATGCCAAGCAAAGAGAATTGAGAGACTTCCTTCCCAGCCCCTGAGCCCCCTGTGCCACCCAATAGCATGCTGCCCCTCATGCATTGGGTGCCAAGGAAGGTTGGGAGGTGAGAGAGTATTTGCTATGGTGTGACTTGGAACTTGTACCTTAGTATGTTTCTAACATGTTAACCTTTACATAATTACTTCTATATCATAATTTCCTTTGGAAATAGGCCTAAACTTGCAATCCCAATATTCTTTTTAAAATATGTTGTTAGTTTTACATGGACACAATACCTTTATTTTATTTATTATTCATGTTTATGTGGCACTGAGGATGGAACCCAGTGCCTCATACATGCTAGGCAGGTACTCTGCCACTGAGTCACAACCTCAGCTGCTGCAATCCCAACATTCTGAGAAGCCTCTACTGTGTGGTGTGCTAATCTTGGGATCCTGAAGGGCAGGGCATGGAGAGAGATCTAACAAGTCTTACATGGTCTCTGCATCCAGGAGGAGGTCCATGGCCAAGTGTGTATGGTGGACTTCGGAGACCAACACTCCAATGGCAGGCTTCCAGAGGTAAAGGCCAGCAAGCTCTTCTCACTTCTATGTTAGATATCTCTGGGAAGAGGAATCTTGAGTACATCTGACTCATATGCGTGACCGTATGGTTGCAGCATGCAGAGATCTTATACAAATGAAATCTTATGCCTGAGGTACGTGCTGTCCTCCAACTTCCACTCTAAGTAAGCAGTGTGCCTTGGGGATCTCCCCATGTCAAAACAGATCAAATTTCTCCAAACCCAAGGGCAGCTGCTTCCTTCTGCTGGTCTTTTATTGACCTCCTTATGGACATTTTTGAGTTCCTAGAACATCTCACTTTCATAAACAGTGTAGCCAAGTGCTTCTGGACACACTACTTGCACATATGTGCACATGTGTTCTGGCCAGCAGGTGTTTAGAAGTGGTTAGAGAGGTTCTGGCATGTGGGTTGATGATTTTGAGCTGTATTGACAAAACACCATCCAAGGGACCCACCAAAGTAAAGTAAATGCTTATTCCCAGCCTTATCAACAGAAGACATTATGGAACTTTTTTTAAAAAACATCATTATGATGGATGAAAAATGATATCTATCTCATTGTGGCTTTAATTTACATTGCTTTAATTATGAATAAACTGGAGCAATTTTTCATTTGTTTATTGATCTTCTGTAATTCTTTCTGGTGAACTGTCTGCTGGAGGGCTTGGATCTTTATTAAAATAAGATTTGTTTTATTAACAGAGAGGGATGGGGGTGAAAGCTCTCCCTCCCTTTAAGCCATGCATCTCCAAAGGAAACATCTTTTTTCCTAAGGTGATCTTGAGCACAGCCTCCAATGGGAACAAAACACATTCATTTAATTGCATGCAAGTTTTGGCTGAAACCTAGAGCAGGCATCCAACTCAACACAGGCTACTGCCTGCTTGTCTGCCAGTCTACCCTTGTGTCTGTCTGTCTCTCTACCTGCTCTCTGTCTACCTGGTCCCGTATCTCCAACAATGCCTCCTGATTACTGGCCTCTTCCAGCTACTTAGCCAGCCAAGCAGTCTGCTCAGACTAGCAATGTTCTCTCCCTGTTCCCACCTCCCTATCCAGACACAGTTGGAGGCAGCAGATGCCCAGGCTTGGGGTCAGTGCTCTACAGAGTGACTCCTGTCCCTGGTACATCTTGGTAAGGAGTTTCTTCTGCTCTGAGCCTCAGTTTCCTATTTTCATATGGAAGGTTGAGCTTAAACTCAGTTTCAAGCTGTGTCTCATGGCTTCAAGGAGGTGTACTGAGGGCTTCCTGAGCTGTGTAGCAGACCCTAGCTTAGCCTCTCTTCATGCACAGCTATCTGCTCTTACCACTTTCTTCTATTGGGTTTCTGTTTAAGAAGTCAGACACTAGTGCGGCAGTATGTATAAATATGGCTGTATAGTCAATGTGATCCTGCAAACTGTACACGTGGGAATAATAAGAATTCATACCCCATTTGAAACAAATGTATGATATATGATATGTCAAGATCAATGTAATGTTTTGAGCAACTAATAAATTTCTAATTTTTAAACATAAATAAATAAATAAAAGGAAGTGAGTATTTTTTCTAAAAAAAAAAAAAAAAGAAAAGAAAGAAAGAATTCTAGACTATAGACTAAGCTGGATCTTAGGAATAAGTTTCCCATGATGAGAAATAAAATCAATAATAAATGTGATTTTTAAGAAAAAAAAAGAAGTCATCCAAACTAAAATTCCCAAAAGCAAGTCCAATCTGTAATCCCAGCAGCTTGAGAGGTTGAGGCAGGAAGGTCCCAAGTCTGGGCCAGCCTCAGCAACTTAGACCCTGTCTCAAAATAAAAATTAAAATGGGCTGGGGATGTGGCCTAGTGGTTACGCATCCTTAGGTTCAACCCCTGGTATAAAAAAAATGCAGGTCCAAAAGCTTTGGGGGACAATAATCTCCTGCTTTTAAGCCCTGCCCTTGGCCCACTCTCAGACAGCCACACCCTCAAACCCAAGTGAGTTAGCCCACCATCTGGATCCTGCAGGCAGATAGGAGCTTCCTTTCAGCTGGTTAATGAAGCTTGTGGACCTATAAACAATTCTCCTTCCTGCTCCTGGAAGCAGCTGGTACTGAGGTCATCCCTGGAGTCCCAGGGCCCCCACCCCTGCCAGAAAGGAAGGGGAAGGGGGACTAGCATAGCCTTAACAAGACAGGAAGGACAGACAGAGGAACATGGGGTCAAGTTGCAGGGACTGTAGCTGACCCAGGGAAGGAAGGCCACCTTGTGAGTACAGGGAGGGAAATAAAAGTGACAGAGTCACATAGAGCAGCCATTAGGATGTACCTGATTTCCATGAAGACAAGGTCACCTTGATTTATAGTTTTCTGTCTCCATATGTGGGCTCCTCTCATTCAGTATGGCTATTCTGAATCAAGACTCACCAAGCAACGTTCAGTGTTAATCATAATTA